TCGATACTGAAACGAAACCGGGACGCAATTCGCTTTTGCTTTTCACGAAGAACAATACTTCAGCCGGACCACCGCCGGATGTGTTGATAACTCTCTGTGCGTGTAACGCAACTTCGCTCTCAGGAAATCGAGTTCGGCTCGCCAGGTATAAAGTGCCGTTGGTTATCAGATAGGCTTTATAGATGAAGACGTGGTATTTTGTTTGTACAACCTAACACACGCAACTCTCGCTTCTCAATATCACAATATCGGTTTGTGTTGCAATATAGAAATTGTTAATGTAAAAGTAATTAATGTTAAATTAATATAAATAAAAATATTGTAATTAATATAAATAAGAATATAAAGAAAATTGTTTTTTGTGCAAGAAAAGTTTATATATTTTTTGCCGAGAATTTTGAAAAATATTGGCGAGTTTTAATTTAATTCTTTTTTAATGTTTTTTTTTTTTAAATTATCGTTTACTCTAAAAAACAGACAGTAAGGAAGAGAAGAGATAGATAGAGGGAAAGGGAGAACTATAGAGAGTTAAGTTTATACCAACACATTTACGACTTCCTCTTTAAAATTCATTTGTCACAAAGCTACTTTTGCGCTTAATACTCTTTTCTTGTAAGCCTACGATAGGTTTACGGTTAAATTGCAAATTTTCTATAGAAAAAAAAAAAAAAAAAACGCTGGTTACGCGTTCAATATCGCTGCGAAACAAAAACAGGTCAAATGTATTGATGCACAATGATGCAGTGTATGTGAATGAGAATTTTTTTAGAAATACTGTTTTCAATGTAAAACAAAAAAACTTTTACATTGCACTACGTTTTAAATATATTTGCTGCAATGAAATTTGCTTTGCGAAAGTATTTTGTTTCGAAATCCGTATTATTATATATAATACGCGAGTGATGCGTTTTGCATCCTATTAATCTCCGAATAATTAACAAATTCTTTTTATAATATAAGTTTTATTTTATTATTAAAAAAATATTTGTAAATATATATGTTGTAAATATTGAAAATATTTATGTAAAGATATGTGCTACAACAGAGAGGAATAAATATTGAAATATATAATAATCGATAAGTATATATTTTGAGTAAACTTTAAATCCTTTTCTCCCCAACCAAGATATATGTGACGCACATACGATACAATGTAACAAAGAGATAATTTATGATCAAACATGATGGAATCTGAAAATACGATCGACATATATTATCATATTTTTATGAAAGTCATCTATCATTCCTACAGAAAATAGAGTATGTAACGCACCTCTATTGGCTGGTGAAAAATTTCCGCGCAAATGTGACTTCTCTCAAACAAATTTTCTGGCGTTTCTCATTTTACAGAGACGCGTTCTTCCCGTATAGTTGCCTGATCGATATTTTCATATTCCGACACGCTCGTGTGTGTGTGTGCGTGTGTGTGTGTGTGTTCCGTCTTAACTCGTCCCAACTTTAAAATATCGTTTCTTTATTTCGAGTCGCGCCAGACTAATCCTCAAATTTATATTCAACGATGAGCCGTTCGATCCGAGAGAAAATTCGCGAGAATCGTTGTTTGTAGCAAGAATGCAGCCCAATAGAAATAAATTCTCGATATCCCGGCGCGACGTACTCTCTCGCGGTTCCGTATGATATTTTTTTCTCCTTCTAGTGCGCTGTACAGCTGCTCTATCGCACCGGATCTTCTCGTTCGGAAACAAATTTAGTACAAATGTCGCGTTTTTGATCTCGCATACAAATTACGTATCTGTGAATAAATATTCTTAAAGATGTGTAAGTCCAATTAAATTCTCATTTTAAAAATCTAATTTGTTACGTTAGTCTTGAAATAAAACTAATTTACATATACATTACATAAATAAAACTAATTTACATATATACGCGATGTGTTTCTGTAAGAGAAAATGCTAGTCATTTTGTTTATTCGTCCGCTCTGTTAATAAAGTCATTTGATCGACCGTAACAATATAACATGTTCTAGTCAATATTTATTCGAAAATTTGGCGATGCATCGCAAAAAACTTCAATATTCAGTATTATACTATACAACAAGTTATTGCAATATCTGATCTGATATCTATGTGTGCGTGCGTGTGTGTAACGTGCGACCGTATACGGTCGTCTTCGTGCGCGGGTAGACGTCAGCAACTCGTTTTATTGCGTATATATCAGCATTCCTCTCGTCTCTCAAACAATATAAATATCCGCCCTTCGAGAACACAACCCATCGATTGTAGTGGTGCAGTGAGAGTGTGGTATCGGCGGAAATAGACGACTCGCACGCAAATATAAGGAATCATAAATATAAGCCAAACGTATCGCTGACAAATCGGAGTAGTCACAGGTTTATCCTGTTTTGTGATATGATTCCGTTTATTTCAATCGTGTTTATTGTATTACTCAACGCACTCTCTCTCTCTCCCTCTCTCCCTCTTTCTTTTTCTCTCTCTCTCTCTCTCTCTTTGTAATACAAAAAAAATCGTTCCTTGTCTTTTTTTTTGTAATACGAGAAAAAAAACGGACTTATTTACGTCGAATGACGCAGTCGTGTAATGTGACATTGTTCAATAATGAGATATTGCTTATAATTAAAAGCAGCTTGTGAGATTTTATAGTTTGAAGCTAAAGTTTATTGAAATAACAAACCCTTGAATGATCCTGTACAAAGTTCTGGAGCAAGGGAGCTCAGTTATTAATGTTGCATTATTAACCTAACTCGCGCATAAAGCTCTCTCTCCTAGGTCAATGGATTTTCACCAAACAATTATTATCGGTAATCCATATCGTGTTTTGTACATAGATGTATATTATATCTACCTGCCACAATACATATTCCACGATATTCTATCAGGACTGATACGCGCGTGTAATGTATCAATTGTTTCGTTACAGAAGCTGGCTTTAGAATTAGCAGTCGCCTACGGTCCAATCGCGTGCATTTTAACCCCTAATTAATATGACAATGTCGAAATTAATATTCCTTCTGTATATAGATATTTTATCAGCATCAAAACTTTTTATCTTATTATGTGTTATGTTTTTATTCTAACATTTATATAAGTGTTGCGACTTATATCTTTCTATTCTCATTAAAATAAATCATTATTTGATTACAAAATTACATGCGTACAATATTATTTATATATATATATATAAAATATACATATGCATGTATGTGTATATATATATATATTATATACTGCACATGTATATATACACACATGTGTGTTGTATGAATTTTATACAGCTGCTCTTTATATGTATATATTTATATGTATATAAGATAATATTTTACATACATAAACTATGTATATAAACTACTTTTATATGTGTATATATATATATATATACACATACACAATATTAGGTTGATAAAAATATCGAACCACAGAGGAAGTGAGCATAGCTACGTATAAGTGAAATTTGGTGCTTAAATATTTATCTATGTGTATTTAAATATACTATGTTTGCATATATTCACGACAAAACACGTATCTTATATGGGATAAATCTTGATTTTTTTTTTTTATTTTCAGAATGTCTCAAACTGTCTCTTAGATATTCATTTAGAGTTGATAATAAATTCTTTCTGAAGAATTAGTGATTAAAAATATGTAACATTTTTTATGCAAGTAATATAATGTTTTCTTTACATTTGTCGAAATATAATTTATAAAAAAAACTGCTTCCCGTTTAATATCTCTCGTATAAAATTAATTTCATTGAAAAAACTTATGACAATTTTGAGACGTTCTGTAGAACAACTCGTGCACAAAAGTCTTTATAATTTACAAGAAATTATGTATATATATATATATATACATGTAGATCATATTTGATATGAAAAGAAGATTTGTGATAGACAGTCAACTCGATCTTTTTCCGCAGCGAAACAAGAAGACGTTCGATATAAGACGCCGTAACGCAATCTCGCGTTTTATCTAATAAGTTCCGGTTTCCTCGATCGTCCGAAACTTCCGACAATTGTAACTGCGTACACCTGTCAAAGCGGAGGTTCTTACTTTTTCATCATCAATTCGCGACACGATACCGTAACTTAACAGTAGTCAGATTTCCGCGCTTCTGTGCAGATTGACTAAATTATTCGCACAGCACGATTTCGCAAACGTAAAAACGTTTGACAGTGAAATGTAAAACTTTTCTTCCACCAGTTTAAACCAATTGGTTTTCTCTCTTGAGAGAAAATAATAATGACTAATTAGGAAATAAATATACAGATATACTTTATACGGATACATTTATCTTAATAATTGGTTCTTATATTTGAACAATGCTAGTGATATACAAGCATTTTTACGCACCGCACATATCACAAACTGCTTCGATCATATAAAAGTAAATTTACCGATAATAATCCACGAGCAAGTCTTGATCGAAGATACAAACTTGACAAGAGCTCTTCTAATGTTTAAAAAATCCAAAAATTGTTTCACTCCGATATCAGCGAGAACGCTATTTTAATATATTTTACAATTTAGCGCGCAACTTAGACATTTATTCCGATATTCGGATAAAATTCGGATCGAGGAAACTTTGGAGACTTCATATAACTCTCGCACATTACACCGATGATGATTGGTTAAGAGAGATTCGCTTTTGAAAAAGATCGGCTCTCTATCTTTTTTCTCGAATAACTACGAACGGCACGAAGTGGATTTCCCGCGATATCTTCCAGTCCGTCGCGCAAATTGAACATCGAGAAAGTTCGCCGGCAACCACGAGACAATTTCACGGAAACTAGTTGTATGCCAAGTACAGTAATATCACACGACGAATGAATATATAACAGAAGACGCGAAGTAGATAAGAGAAGGAGAAAGATTGTAAAGAAAAAAAATAGAAGTAACAAAGTGGAGGAAAAACAGTGAACAATAAAAATTGCAACATCACAAATGGACATCGCAAGAGACAGAAAGAGAGAAAATAGAGAAATGAACGAGAAGAGAGATGAGAGAGTCTGCACATTTACTCACGTGTGGTGCGTTTTAGCGATGCGGCAGGACTACCTGTGGGGGATGGAAAAGCGCGTCGGGATCCCTCACGAAAGAGCCTCCTGGTTCTCATCGCGCAGACGTGCTTTTCCATCCCCTCTTGCGTTTACGTGTTACCGTTCGCTCCGGAGAGAGCGAGCGCGAAGGGGTGAACGAGTGAGTGGACTGTGACGGGGGAAGGTAAGAGGCCGATGAAGGCTTTTCTCTGGACTGATAGGGGGACGCAGCGCGACTGCGAAAATACGAAGAGGAATACGTATTGTAGCGGCATAACACGGATAAATGTTTTTTTGTACGTGAAACAAATGTCTTATTTCAATGATAAAATTTGGACTAAAAATTCGGATGTCGTGTGTTGACCAGCCTTCAAGATCAATATCACAAATTTGTTGCGGTCTCATATAATTTCATTCAATAATATTCTATATACACGATGTGTCGTATTTTTGTATTATCTGAATTTCAAAGATTCTTTCGATTTGTTTAATTGTATCATTGATTTTATATTTTGCGCATATCTACATATGTAAATAAAAAAGTCGCGAGGAGTCAACATCGCATATAAGATAAACAAATATTTGATTATTAAGTTTTATAACAATATTGTATCCATTTGCTGTACATTATTAATTTTGTACAATATTTCATAAAATATATAATATGCTGCATCGGCGATTAATAGTATAACACATATACTAATATATTTACGATTGTTTTTTACTTGCTCTAAATCGCAAAATTTAAAAAACACAACATTTATTGAGAACAAACTAAACGTGGCAGCAATAAAATTTCAATAGTTTTATAATTGTAACATAATTATATATCATTTATAGTAGCATATTTATCCTATATTGTATGAAGATCGAGAACGGCACGGCAAAGTTGCGCGAACGGTCATTAATGACTTCGAGTTTTTTAACTTTGTTTTTTTTTTATGGGAAGTATTGTACCTTCTTTACGACGTTTGATTATGCAGATAAAGAGAAAGTGAAGAAACGATTTGTTGTAAACTTTTTTGATCAAAATCTTGAATGATGAACTTCTAATTATAAAATTCTCTAGAGGGTAAGATTTATCTAAACCCCAATAAAACAAAGTTTCGCCTCTTAAGCTCTCGCTTTCGTAAAACCACAATCACTCCTATATTGATCGAAGAGGAACAACCTAAAATTAAAAGATTTCGGTTCGATAAGACAGTTGTGGCGTATATCTTACAGAAGTGGTTATACATGTGTACGGGACTTGTTGTTAAAATATCAAAATTTATATTAGCTTACAAAATCCAAGCTTTTCCATTGACACTATATACTCGAGAAAAGTTTTGCCGCAAATAAATTCGAAAAAATTGTGCGAATTGCATTAGAGGCAAAATTTTTAATCATTCGTTGAGGCGAGACAATATAAAAACTACACATTACGGGATGAAAAACTTGTCGCGTCACTAGCCTGGAAAACAAATCTTATAACAATAGACTCTTTCTCTCTTTTCCAAGATATATATATATATCTTTGAAAATTGGCTAATTCCTATATTTATTTACGTCAAAATTTTAATTGCGTTAACTTTTCTCGGTTAATAGCGCCGAGACATCTTATATAAATTAAAGAGATGAGATGCGTAAGGAATATAGCGTAAGTATAATTTTTCAGTCTTATTTGATTAATAATCTTTGATATACGTTTAACAAGTTACGTTCGACAAACTGAGAACGTCCAGTTCTTTAATCCCATTTACTTACTTGTTGCTATTTCTAAGCATATCTTTTCATCACGATACGGCAAGATAATCAAAATGACTACATCAATTATTATAAGAGACAATCTCATAAATTTTTAACAAAATTATTTTATACGACACACGACCGTTGGTGACGTTGATGAGCAGCTCAAGGGAAATGGCGAAAAGACCGGCGATGACGGTCTTTTCAGCCATTCTTATAAAAATTCGAAAAATCATATAGATAGAAGATAAAAATAATGATAGATATTATTCGGATGCTACCTCTCGTAAACTTATCTTTCTCATTTTTTTACAAACTACGCTCTCGAATTTAAATTTTTATGGGAGAAAAAATTTAAATTTTTATGGGAAAAAAAGTTACGAGAAAAATTACATTACGCGTTTATTTGAGAGTGAAGTATCTCGTTTATTTGTTTGTGTGTAACTTGTTCAGAAATATCTACAAAACTCTCGCGAGCAATAAAATTGTATTTGTTTTATCACGAGATACCGACTTTGCTTAACGTTCATTAAGCGCATCAATTACACTATTATTCGTTGCAGTTTTCTTTCTACACGTCACAACTTCGAAAAAAAAAAAGACCCAGTTAAAAAGTTACGATGACAAAGTCTATCTGCTCGTAAATCTTTCATGTTTCACAAGCGAAATCTACTACTCCATTATGACGTCGGTGTTGTCCCCATCTGCGCTCCCAAAGGACCAAGTCAGAAAGGAAAATTGTGTATAACTTATTGCCGCGTTTTTTTTTTTATTTTTGGAAATGTTTTCTATTCGTAATACATTTGCCCGTCCGGCAATCCCTGTACGTGCACAATAGAATTGTTACCGTGTTTCCCAAATCTGGGAGATACTGTGACAGTATGATATTTCTGTTTTGATAAGATAATATTCGATTGACGCACCCTCGGACGGGTGCGTCAACTTGCCGGTAACCGCAACCCACATCCGACTGTCCCTTTCGTTCGGCAGAAAGCGAAATAAGCAAGAACAACGCAAACGAAAGCGAGAGAGATCGATCGCCGTAAGAGGGACATAAAGCTTCGAATTTGGAATTGTCGTTCCTTTTTTTTTATTTAACTAGAACGAAACGCGCGCACATTTATTCTCGTAGATCTGAGAAATCACACACACGCTCGCTTAAGTGTGTGTGTGTGTGTGTGTGTCTTTATTGCCTGTGTAATGCATCTAGAGCTAATAGATGGATTTGACGACGGAAAAATTCGAAAAGCAGAAAAGAGAGAATTAGAGAAAAAAAGAGAGAGAGAGAGAGAGAGAGAGAGAAGAAGAAGAAGAAGAGACCTTGTTCTTTCAGGTAACGATTGCTCCGCTAAGTTCATGAGGTAGTTTAATAAGGGAATGGGAGCTTATTCATATCTCCTGCACAGCGCAAGCGCCGGAAAGCCACCTGTAGCCCCAGCCTCCAATCAATACATCACATACACACAGAAAGAGAGGTAATATCACGACAGCCTGCCTGCCTGCTTGCCTGCCTGCCTGCCTGCCTGCCTCTCTGCCTCTCCCCACGTCTCTGTATACTTGCTTACTTGCCTGCTTGCCTGCCTGCCTGCTCGCCTCCCTGTTTGCAGGGTGGAAATCGGAACGGACGTAAGAGAGAATCCTCGAGACCCTACCTCTCCACCGCCTGCCAGAATCGCCTGTTGCTGTCGTCACGCCAATATTATATGCAACGCAGTTGTGTCGTCGAAACCGCTCCGCGTTCTGATTTTAGGCGATAGCCTAGTTCAGAGCGGCGAGCATTCGTGACCGCGGGTCGATATCACTTTCGCTCTGTACAAAAAGCTGAGTTAACTGCGAAATGTGTACAATTTTGCGTGACAAATTTGATAGAGTCGGTATTTTTCTCATTCTTTCGACATGTTCATATTACATTTGTCAATGAGTTCACAAATATATTGCATATCGGAAACAGCCAGTGTACGTTACAAGAATTAACACTTGGAAAAATTTTTTTTTTTTCTTAGACTGTAATGAGAATGTGATTTCTTGGAAAATATGCATCTTGAGAGAATCTCACAAAAGACGCGAAAATCTCACTACCAAGAAGAGCAGGGCTTGTTTCTTAATTGGCAATTTTTACTTCGTATTCCTTGCTTTTCCCTCTCTCTTCAATTGCGATGCCGTTTTGCGACTTCTCTTTTTGCTTAAATCTATAATAGAAATATCGAACGATCTGTCGCAGGATTGACAGAATGAGTGATCGACATATATAGTGGACTCTTGTTGAGCAGAGAAAGAATCAACCCAAAGTACTGGCCCATATGTTAGAGTGCTCGAGATCCTCCAGAGAGGTTTTACACTCTTGGTTTCCATTTAATTATTGAACTACCCTTTTTGTCTTTCGCGCTGTAAACTCTATTCTTTTTTTTTTTTGGTTTTTTTACTTTTTCTTCAAGAAATTGCTGAATTGTTGTTATCAAATAAAGTGCAACCATTTTATTGCAAAGCAGTTTATACATGTGCGCATATATGTGTGATTCTATGTAATAATCATAACAGAGTTATTTTATTTAGTGCGCAAAAAATTGCTTATATATATTGTTTACGTAAGCACATCGATAAAAAAATTTTTTTAATTAGCTCGAGCTAATTGTTTTCTCTGTAGCAAAATTATTATTTATTATTACTTATTTTGATGAAATTTCTATCAAACACGTGTTCTCCTCACGTTCACGTTTATTTTCGATTACACGCGATAAGTAATAAAAGCATCAGGAAAGCAAAGCCGTAACAGTACGAACGATCGATGGTGTGCGACCGCATCAGCGGAAACAAAAATCCGTAGAAAAATCGTTTTCGTCGTCAACGCGATATTACGCAAGACACGTATTTCTGGACACGCGTTTTTTCTTCACCGATGAAAATATATATGTTCTGCCACAACACGATAGAAATGAAAAAATAAAAAAAAATAAAAAAAAACAAATACAGCAACGCAAAATATTCCAAATGGTTTTTTTTATTACTTTTCTTTTTTCCAACATTATTATTATGCAAATGAATATAATATTGCACACGACGCATACAATATGATACGTTTTCAAATGAACTACGCAGAACATGCTTTTTATAGACATATTTTTTCGGCTTATTCGAAATGGAAAATAACACAGGTTATTGCAATACTCGATAACCGTAGAAACGTTAAACAAGGGGATATTAAATCAAACGCTCCGATATGTACTTCATTTTCCGTGAAATTCATGCATGTTGACTTTCCGTTGAGCATTAAAACATTTCGATATATCGTATGTACGCACACGTACGTATAATTTTCGCTAAGAACGCCAAGGACACAAAATGAAATAAAAGCGTACAAATTTCATTCGTTGATACAAACAATATTTTGATAAATTACTGATAAGTTACATAAACAATATTACTGAGATAAATTTTATTTATTGTAGTCCGCGCGTATCTACAAAACGCATTTCTATGTAACAATTAAATTATTTTTTTATTTGTGTTTCTGCATTCTTTACCATATTAAATTGTACAAACACATTTTACGATATTTACGTTAGGTAAGAATTCTACTTTCAATGATTTACAAATAATATTGTACAATAATTGCACAATAATTGCAAATAATGAAAGAGTGGAGTTACGTCCTTCTACCTAGTAATCGGTAGAACGTTGTCAGCACAAGCGCTTTTAGAGTCTTGTGTGAAATTTATCACATTTGTCAACAACGCAAATCAGATAATCAAAACGTCAATTTTTTTTATTTATGAAGATTTGCATTGAAATTCATTATGCGTTCACAAATCTTGACGACAAACAAATAACGAAATTAATATGTGTAATAGATCAATATATTTCGTAAATTTTGAAAACTAGTGTTTATGAGACTTCATTGGCTTGAGAATTTAATGTTTTAATTCTTGTAGCGCTTTATAATAAAAAGCGTCGGATAATAAGCTGCCGCAGATTAATTTCGTTGTATAACAGAGTACGTAGTTAGGCGTATAAAGTAGCGAAGATGCATCATCTCGAGTGCAATTCAATTTCGTATTGTATATAAAGTCCCCCCCCTCCCCATTCTTCATCCCCCGAAGATGCTCCACGTTGCGGGATGGAACATTGCTAACCACGTTAATATCGGTTTCCAGAAGCAATTGAGCGAACCTCGCTGTTGTACCTTGCCCCTTGATGGCACAGGGGGAAAGGGTCCATCTAAATATAACATTCCAGCGAAGGCTCGCGCGTATATCGAGGCAGCCTGGATAATATCGATCTTTTGAACGCGCGCTCGTGACGCGTATGATATTGCTTGCTAGTGGTATGATACCAGTTGAAACTCGCCGCGCGCAAAAGGAAAGTTGATCTGCTGTAGGTATCCGTTTGTAGTCAGACACGTCACTTTTGTTTGATAACGAATCGCAAGCAGCGAACTAAGATGTTGACAAGAGATTATTCGACCAAATGATAATATAAATTATCTGTTCCTTCTGTAAAAACAAATATTGTTTATAAAACTTTAACTGTGTTTGTAAAACTTAAACTGTAAAATTTTACATGTTGATATTATGCGCACATATTTAAGTTATAATAATATATGGATAATATATATGAATAACAATTTCAATTTTAAACAATTAATAATGATTTAAGGCTCGTTGAAATTAAACACAGAAATATATAAGGCCTTACGAGCCATTTCCAGGATGTTGAGCGGAAACTGTGCGTGTATATATACATATATATATGCATACACATGTAACGAGTTCAACTTGTAAATTTTTACAAGTGAATATTTTTTGAATTGAAATCTCAATTTTTAAATTCATACGGGATGCTAGATTTGCATCTCACATATGAAAGACCCCGGATACTCCTCTAACTAATTTTTTTTAAATATTGCGAAAAAACTCCTCGGCCAGGAGTCTTTTCAATTTTATCTTTCGCACAGGATAATATCCGTTATATGTGATCTTTGGGTTTTTCGTGTTTATTTACATCAGAGCCTTCCAACTCGAGCACGGCGTGCGGTTTGTGCCATAAGATTTCTATGCAGTCACGTGATCAGTTGGAAGGCTCTGATTTACATGATGCTACGTTTAAAGAGTTCGTTATCGACATTGTGTCAGTTTTCAGTGATCTGTCGAGGAAGTAAGATTGCAGTTAAATATATAAATTTACTCTTTTAACATTTTAATTTATTTTGTGTAAAAGTGATATATGTATATATTTTGTGTAAGCAGTTAATTTACAAAAACAGATTAACACGACGCACAGACATTTATATTTTTTTTAAAGATTTGGTAAGTTAATAAAAAATATTTGTATATTTCTTTTTGAAAAATTTGTAAGATGTAACTCTAAACTTCAATTGAGAAAAATTAGAAATGCGATAAAATTATTTTATTGTTTTATTCGTCAATTTTTTAATAATTAAAAACTATTATATACATTATAGAGATATTAGTTTTTTACTATTTATACACAAGTCATATATGAATATATATATGTGTATAGTCATATGAATATATGTATATACATATGTGTGTTGTTTTGGCATAACAGAGACTATATATTTGAAGCTTTCAAACAAAATATATCATAATAAATACTGTTTCAAAGTCGCTTTGATCGAAGATTTCAAATCAAGCAGAAAACGTTTTGTTATTACTATACATTTTTAGAAAAATTTATATTAACGCTTCACGTATATTTTGTTATTCTTATGTAGTTAAAAAAAGAAAATAAAATTCATATATTGTGAGAATATCATTATATAATTAAATTTAATCACAAATCAGAGTAGCAAAGTTAACAAGGTTACGTATAATAACATATAATAAACTACGATAAAATTTGTTTTTAATACAAATTTACTTTATACAGATGTGTTTGAAAAATAAATCTTAATATGGCTATGTTAAGACTGATACAAAATATCGGTTTACTATTTGTCATCACAACAGCTTTTGTTACTGGTTCTGATATATTCATTACGCGAGTACCGCGCACGACAAAAACAAAAACAGAAAAAGTCAATATATCGAACCACATACTACCAGAACATTATGATATAATATTAATAATAAAAAATGGAACGACAACTTATTCTGGCGAAATAAACGCCACTATTTTTATCGAACGTTCAACACATGAAATACAAATGCACATGGATTCAACAGTAAATATAAAAGAGATACGATTGTACGAGCAAGATGAGAAATATAAGTATAAAAAAGGTTTCTCTTCGTATGACCCTGAGTCGCAAATCGTTTCCATTGACATCGGTCGTAGAATACCAATTGGAAAATACAATCTTCAAATATCATTTGAAACTGTTATAAAGAATAACACAGAAAGCATCCTTACAAAAAAGAGTTTTTCTTTCTACAATAATCCACAAATAAAAGAGTAAATAAATGTTAAAATGTTCATAATACATTAATATGTTGTAAATTTGTCCATTAGTGTTCTTTACAAGTTCTCTTCATCATCATTTAACAATATCCCTAACATATGTAAACAATTTTGACAGATGGTTAATTGCAACAAATTTCTACTCGTTTGGAGCTCGACAAATGTTTCCGTGTTGGGATGAGCCACAATTTATAGCCACGTTTAATCTTTCTATAGAACATGATAAGGGGTATATGGCTCTGTCGCATGGAAAGGGAAAAAGAGAGTTTACTAAGTACAATACATGTATTACAAAGTTTGTGACTACTCTTCGAATGTCCACTCACTTCTTAGCGTTTGCATTGATCAGTTATCCGACTTTTCATTACATTCCGGGAACTATTTTGAAACAAGATAATCAATATCTACAGCTTTATACACAATTTGCGCAAATCGCTATTGGTAGGATTACAATGCATATGGAATACGAATGGGGGAATTTGAAGAATTTTCCAGATGTACATCATGTCGCAATATCAGATTATCGAATTACTGAGATGTCGCATTGGAGACTCATTTTTTATAAGTAATGATATATACATATATGTGTCTCCATCTTTTTTTTTATATTAGATATATAGAAGCATTTTTATTGTATTACAATTATTATATAATAAACATTGTTTTTGAAAGCGTTATAATAATACAGAATGATATGATAATACAATTTTAATATAACTATGTATTAATTATTTTTAGAGAAACAGATATTATTTATGATTTAAAGTTACATCGTTCTATGCGCATTATAGAGATAGCGCGCTTAATAGCACGTCAAGTGGCGTATCAATGGTTTGCTGTTCCTAGCTCATCTTCGTGGCCTTACCGATGGTTAAACGAAGGTCTTGCTTTATTATTTGGAATAGAAGCTATCGACAAGGTTATTTCCATGTAGCACTACTATTTTATTTACATTTCGACGATTTTAATCGTCAACTTGTATGCTAAACTTTTTTTAGAAGTAGGTATACGTATATAATATTCGTACGTCAATTAAATATTTACTTAATCATATTAAAACGTGTTTGTTTTTCAGGTTTTTCCAGAATTAGATTTCCACATGAACTTGTTTGTAGTTCAGAATCAATATGAAAGTCTTCGTTTAAACTCTATTCTTGAGAAATATCCTTTCAAACCGCCATTTAACAACTCCAATAATGGACATTATAATCCTTATTCTAAAAGTAAGATAAGATGAATAATTTTAAAATTTTGAATACAAATTTGGAATATAAATATCATGAAACTATAAAATTAATGCTAACTCTTTATGTACATTTCACGCATGTACACGTATATAAACATAATATATATATGTATATATATGTATATAAAAAAATATATATATATGTAATGAATATAAAAAAAAATTGCTAACTCTTTATGTACATTTCACGCATGTACACGTATATAAACATAATATATATATGTATATATATGTATATAAAAAAATATATATATAATGTATATATAAATATATATTTACAATTAATAAAAAAGAAACGTTGAAATGGTAGTTGAAGCAGACACAGTTGTTGTTGTGTAAAATGTTGTTCATTTAAAAAGTATGGATGAATGTATAAATGTATAAACGTTTCGACCTTCAATTTAGGTTTTTATCAATATAATTAAGAATAAACAATAGTTGTGGTCTTTATATATTAAGATGTGTAACGTACATGTTTGAATTGACAGGCCACATCCTCTCAGAAACAAAGAAGAAACTGGATTCTATTCCGTTGCTTCTTTGCTACTGAGAGGATGTGGCCTGTCAATTCAAACATATACGTTACACATCTTAATATATGAAGACCACAACTATTGTTTATTCTTAATTATATTGATAAAAACCTAAATTGAAGGTCGAAACGTTTATACATTTATACATTTATCCATACTTTTCAAATAAACAATATTTTACACCTTTACACAATAATAACTGTGTCTGCTTTAACTGCCATTTCAATGTTTCTTTTTTGAAAATATTTGGAGCTAATCATCTTTCTTAAAAACGTATACAATTAATAATATATATATGCGTAAAATGTATATAAAATGTATATATATAACTAAACTGTACATACATATATATACAGGGTGTCTCATAATGACCGTCTCACCGCTCGTAGGCAAAAAGAAGGGGTTATTCTAAGACGAAAAATCCTATATCACTTTGGAAGATTCGCAATAATTAACAAGATATGAATTAATAAAGATCCGCTAATCAGCGTGCATCCAGCGTAAGGGGAGCGTAAAGACAGCCTAGTCTTTCGCGTGGACGCGCTGTTGCGATGGAATGAGAAGAAGCTAATAGAATAGCATGTGCATACATAGCATATAGGCTGCGTTCGGGTTCGGGCAGCGCGCTATCCGCGCTATTGTATTCCGTCGCTACGGCGCGACAGATTGGGCTGTCCTTACGCTGGATGCACGCCGATTAGCGGATCTTTATTAATTCATATCTCGTTAATTATTGCGAATCTTCCAAAGTGGTATAGAACTTTTCGTCTTAGAATAACCTTCTTTTTGCCTACGAGCGGTGAGACGGTCATTATGGAACACCCTGTATATATCAATTTAATTTTTACTTTTGTATAAATTTATTTTACACAAGTTTTTAAAATTTAATTAACACGTTTTGTATTGACATGATTTGCAGTAACCTTTATAATGCGTATGTTGCAACATATAATGACTACTGACTTATTTCGAGAAGGTGTCAAAAATTACTTAAAAAAAACGTAAGTGTGTAAAATATTTATAACTAATGTAATAACTGTTACGACTGTTTTTGCTAATAATTTATACAGGGTGTCCAACAATTAGTGTAAAATCTCTCGTAAGCAAGTAGAAGTAAACCTGAGTCGAAAAGTCCTGAACCATTTTTTTCTATTATATAATAAATATAATAAAGGAGTAATTAATGAATAAATCAAGCAAATCACAGCGCCGACTTTTAGCCGGGCGCACGTCACTGAACCACGAGCCTGGTATGCGTGAGCGCTCCGCGCGGCTCACATGACATGCGCCCGGCTAAAGATCGGCGCTGATTGACTTGATTTATTCAATAATTACTCTTTTATTATATGTAATAGAAAAAATTGATTCAGGATTTTTCGGCTCAAGTTTACTCCTTCTACCTGCCTACGAGAGATTTTACACTAATTGTTGAACACCCTGTATATACACGCACATAAGTGGAAAAACGTTATAAAAATTGAAATTTTGAACATCTATTATAAATTGCTTTTATTTTAAACCAGTATATAAGGCCTTACGAGCCGTTTCCAAGACGTTGAGCGGAAACTATGTGTACATATATATGTATATATGTACACATATATGTATATATACACGTGTAACAAGCTTTAAAAATTGTTTGAATTACGCTGGCTGAAAATAAGCGTTATCAACAGTATCAGACCATCTTCGATATATGTATGAATATTGCGAGAATAACTCCAAGTGCCTCGGTGGCCTAACAGGGAAGGCGATGGCACGGAAAGCCGGAGATTCCAGGTTCGACTCCTGGCCGAAGAGTTTTTTTCGCAATATTTGAAAAATTAGATAGAGGGGTATCCGGGGTCTGTCATATGTGAGATGCAAATCCAGCATCCCGTATGAATTTAAGAATTGAGTTTTCAATTTAAAAAATACTCACTTGTAAAAAATTTACAAGTTGAACTTATTACACGTGTATGCATGTATACATATATGTATACACATACAGTTTCCGCTCAATGCTTGGAAACGGCTCGTAAGGCTTTATATATTTGTTTAACTTTCAACGAGCTTTAAAAATTGTTTGCTTTTATTTTATTTTGTTTTTACATTTTAATATTATTTTACAAAATTGTCTAATTACATTGTAAATTAAATTTTACAAATTTAGTGATTCTATCTCGAGAACTCTAGATGATTTCTTGCAAACTTTGCAAGATACTCTAGATGTATCAACTTTGAATAATAAAGTTAACATCAAATACTTGATCAAGTGCTGGATAAGTCAAACTCATTATCCTGAAATAAAGATCATAAAAAAAAAAGATAATATTTTGATAGAAATGATACAAGAGTCGTATGATCTGAATGACAATGGTTATATACCTTTAACTATTACTGGTCAATCAAATCCAAATTTTAACTTAACCTCATATTCCCATATCTATTGGATAAAATATGATAATTATCAAAGTATTTACGATGATAGAAACTGTCTATACTATCCTGAAAAAGGTTGGATAATAGTTAATTTGCAGCAAGCTGGTGAGTGTTGATAGAAAAGACAAGCGAGTTTTATAATTATATATAATGTAAATTTAACAATTATATTGTATATATATATATATATATATAATTGTTAAATTTACATTTAAAATCCAATAAAAGTAAAATTTCAATATGTTAGAAAACATGTGTGTGTCTTAATATGTTATCATGTCTTAAAAAACAGAATTTCTATAGAATCAATGAAATTCATTGTTTAATAGGATACTATCGTGTCAATTACGATAACGAGAATTGGAGAAAAATTATATCTTTTCTACAAAACGATAATTTTCAGCAGATACATGTTCTTAATCGTGCCAAACTACTCGATGATGCGTTTTATTTTATGATGCATCACACTCTAGATTCATCTATATTTTGGAATCTTACGAACTACTTGTATCGAGACACAGATTACGTAGCATGGTATCCTATGTTTAAAGCTATGGAAAATTTATCACAGAAATTGATCCCATTTCCAAAAAACATCGCCTCTATCATGGTGATTAATACTAAACATTTTGTTAAAAAGAAAATGTATATGTGTTGTTGATAAATTGTTACATTAAAAAATAGCGCAAAAATAATAGTTTTAAAAAATACCATTTACACATATATATATATATATATATATATATCTGTATATTTAGTTAATAAAACCAACATGAAATTCATATTTTATTCAATTTGTTTTAGATAAAATTAAGAGTGGTATTGCGCATGCATTTAAACATTATAAAATACGAAGAAAGTCCTGACGACAGTATTCTTCTTAAACTTTTAAGACAAGAATCTGCGAGATGGGCATGTGTTCTTAATGATGGCGAATGCTTGAGAACTGCCGCTAATTACTTGAAATCTCATCTTCTTTATAAAAAGCCGTATGTATAAACAGTGTTTGTGTGTGTGTGTGATTTATAATTTTTTTTCTTAATCATATTTCTCTTACTACGCATAGAGTTTGACAAATTACATGTTTGAACAAGATATAAGATTATAAGCTAAATTTTTTCTGTATAACATGTACGTTGTTTCTTTTTTCTGGATATCGTAGTCTTCTACCGTGGTGGAAAGAGTGGGCATATTGTAACGGTCTGCAGCCTGATATATGGAATATGATAAAAGAGAAAAAAGAAGAACTTAATGTCACGATTATTGAATTCAAACCTGAATGTTTGAGAGATTCTAATATTATTATTGATTATTTAATCAGTTTATCTGAAGAAGAGAAAATTCAACATGTCCCTCGAACTGTTGATTTTGAAAAATTCTTGAAAATTAATCCTAATTACGTAAATAACGAAAGCTTTTTACTATATCTTGAACATTGTTTATTGATATTTCAAGAGATAATGCCAACGTAATTATATAGTTTTATATTATAGTTTTCTTTTTTTTTTTTAATTGCATGCAGTACATATATGCCGTTTTACACTTTAACATAAAAAAAAAACTTTTATTAAACAGTATTAATTATTCATACTATTAACTTTTGTAGCAATACTTCTAAGATTCAGAGCATATTAAGCAAAATTATTAATGCCATTTATGACGAAAGCAAACTAAACAAGGTAAATATTACAATTTTACGATATGGAAGTATCATATGTTACTAAATATGATAAAATTATTTGTATTATATTAAAACTTCACTTATCTTTTTGTATATGTTATATACAGTATGATACAGTTTTCGTCTTGTTACAGTTACAGTTACGTTCTCTGTTACAGTTTAAAAACAATTTATATTAAATTATATCTCTCAAATTTGAGTTTTATACTTACAAGAATTATATGATTCATGTGTGCATATATCAATATTTATAAATAATTTGTTTTAGATAGAGCAGTTTGTAAAATGGAACAAAGATTTAGAAGCAGTGTTACCAAAGATTCGATACAAGTTAAAACTTCGTAAAGATCAAATTAAGAAACAAGCTAGGGAACATAAAAATATAATACATCCTGATTTATAACACAAAAAAATCACACGGCATATATAAAGTGCAACATATTACTATACTAAATTTGTGTGAAAAATAGTTATAACATTAGATACTACATGCTTGGCTTTGATAATCTTGATAAAAGTAAAAACCATTTTGTTAAATCCTAGCTGTTATACATATTAGCTGTTATACATATTAGCTGTTATATGTATATCTTTCGAAATTGATATCGATCGAAATTTTCTTTCGTTGTCACAACAGAACAAAAATAAAACGCGAAAGTATTTTTGTCGGAATCAATTCTGAAAAAAAATTGTGATTTTTTGTGTATTGCAACAGTTTACGCTGCTAGCCTTTGTTTATATTTGAAAATTCTGAAACTTTATTTTTAATTTTAATTTTTAAATAATTTGTTTAATATAATTTATAATAATGTGTTTTAATAATGTAAGATATTGTTTTCTAAGGAAACTCAATAAACATATATATTTAATGCTAATTTGTATTTAATGCTAATGTTCAGACGTTTAAAGACGTTAAAGGCATTTAAGATATTTTAATATGTTTAAAATTGAATTTCCTCAAATTTCCTGAAGTTTTTATAATAAAATATAATAAGAATGAACATAAATATAAAAGCTGATGCAAATGTAAACATATAATATTATTAGGCTAATAAAAAATTTGTATCAAATTATTTTTTATTGAAGTAAAATTAATTTGACAAATTTTGCAATGTTGTTTATGTGTGTTTTATATATATATATATATGTATAAATAAAATATACATATGTAAAATAAATAATAATTATTCTCCAAAAACTGAGGTTAACTTGTTAAATACTAATTAATTAAAATTACCTTCATCACTTTGGACATTATCAATAGTAAATATCTTGATTTAAGTATAAATGGAGTTATAGGCCACTTTCAAACTACACGGTTCAATTATTGAACTAACTCTGAAAACTTATGTGTCAAGAATTATCGTATTTGCTTGGAATATAAGCAATCTGAAATGCTTTATTGCTAAATAACATGAAGTTGTACGTGTAACTATGGCAACCGAAAAAAATTGAGAAATGGAGTTAGGCCACTTTCAAAATAAACGGCTCATGTATATATAAATAATATACATATACATATATATATTATATATATACAGTAGGGAGCACCATATCGTGCGGATCCAGGGGAAGTATTTCTCGAAAATTTCTTCTTTAGCTGCTTCTATTACTGCGCGCTGTTCTCCTTCGATCTCGGACCGTTGGCGAAGACCGAAGAAGAACGGCGCGTAGAGCATCCAAAAGAGAAATTCCCGAAAAAAATTTCCCTTGGAACCGCACGATATGATGCTCCCTATTGTACATACATACAGGGATTTATACCGATATGCAAAATACCGGTATTTTACCGATATTTTTGGGTAATACTATTAGCGATTTCGGCTGGTTTGCACCGACTGCACATTTCGGG